CACAGATCCAACGCCTTACAACACTCGACTAAACGAAAAATGACAGGAACTGCACAAAACTAATTCATCAACATCAACACCAACATTCCATTTCACCTTCACTCAAATAAAATACACCATTCCGGACAACACTACTCAATACTCACTACCCAATATTCACTACTCACTACATACTATGCAATACAACACAATACAATACAATATACAATCCACACAGACACACACATGCTTATGCAGAAGCATAAGCATCTCCTTTTCATTCACTCACTCACTCACTCACTCACTCACCACACTCACCACACTCACCAATCAATCACCACTCATCATCAGACATCATCACAGTAGTTGCATGCAGAAGCATAAGCATCTCCTTTTCATTCACTCACTCACACACTCACCACACTCACCACTCATCATCAGATATCATCACAGTAGTTCCATGCAGTCAGACAGACCATGTTGTCGTCTGTGAGTCGGACTACGAAGGGCACTGTCACTGGTCGGTGTTGTGAATTGGACCAAGTGCTCAAGTGACACGGAACGCTCTGAGAATATGCACACTCTCACCTGGTGGTTTGCGGTGTGATCCGACTGATTGTGAACAAGTATCATGTGGGTCGGACTCGATCCCACGCCCCTCTCACACTGCAGCACAGATCCAACGCCTTAAACACACTCGACTAAACGAAAAATGATGGAACTGCACAAAACTAATTCATCAACATCAACACAACAACCCATTTCACCTTCACTCAAATAAAATACACCATTCCGACACACACTACTCAATACTCACTACCCAATATTCACTACTCACTACATACTATGCAATACAACACAATACAATACAATATACAATCCACACAGACACACACATGTTATGCAGAAGCATGCATCTCCTTAACATTCACTCACTCACTCACTCACTCACACACTCACCACACTCACCGATCAATCACCACTCATCATCAGACATCATCACAGTAGTTCCATGCAGAAGCATAAGCATCTCCTTTTCATTCACTCACTCACACACTCACCACACTCACCACACTCACCACTCATCATCAGATATCATCACAGTAGTTCCATGCAGTCAGACAGACCATGTTGTCGTCTGTGAGTCGGAGATTGTACAGTTCAGTGACTCAGTTAAGTCCGTTCCAATTTCAGTTGTTAATCCAAATATTGATGGGCAAATTGTAGATCACACCAAGTCTCTGTCCAATACACAGTCTGACAGAAAAACATCAAAGCTAGTGAGAAGACAATAAACTGATTATAGAAATTTCAATTCCAAATTAAGCTGTGGTGGTTGCAGTGTCCATATGAACTTATGATTCCCTTTTACTTGATGACTGCCTCATTTTGAACTGCGAATGCATTAAGTTAGTCTGTGCTCACCCACTTGTGTTTGGTTCAATTTGCGTGATTTCGGGAATTGTCAGTTAGAATAACAATTCAACAACTTCAAATTATTACACGACCCTTTCAACATTAGGCAAATTAGAGAAAATCGAATAAACGTAATGCATCTTTCTGTTGTAGAATTTCATTTTTAAGGGTGTGCAACCGTTCTCATGGCTGTGCTTCACAATGTAGTTTGGCATAAATTACACTTATGTGAGATAATTGACCAGATGCTGAATATTGAGATGGTGACAGAGACTTCTACTCGTTAGCCTTGCTTGCCTTTGTTCTTCGATCGAATTTAGTTGGAGTGAGTTACAGTTATTGTCAGTTGGAATGCAGAGATCAGTGAGCTCATCAACACAATCACACCATATGACAACAAATTCACGTGCAGCAACATTGCGATTTCCGAGGTAGATCAATTACTATGAACCATTTATCCCGAAGTGTGTGTGAGTAGAGGCTTAAATAAGATTTGAGATCGTTATGCAATCGTTAAACATAAATATCTTTTAATTTGATGAAATGGCGATTCAGCCTTATCCGATTTTTCACTTTTCATTCGCCTTGCAATTCCAGTAGTTCTCTCTCAAATTATATAACTCTCCAACGATTTAACAAATAGTCGAAATTAGCATGTAACTGTCATAGACGATTACTGCGTATAGCTGTTGCAGTAACGAAAATGCTTTAGAACCAGGATCACTTCCTACGCTCAGTACATCTTATTAGAAATGCCTTGTATGTGTCTTCTACTGCACAACATTATATGTCAATGATCGAAGTGTTAGATGTCACATTCCATTAATGTGTAGAAGATCGGTTACTACTGAATAAGCAGAAGTGGACAAGTGCTTTCCAACCAAATTCTCCTTTCATGAACAAAACAATACAAATTTCGTGTAGGTGATACAGACATTTACAAAACTGAGACGATCAAAAGAAACATTGTGTATCGTGATATGTCATGACGAACGACTTGTCATAAAACAAACTAACGTAAAATCGTAAATAAGGAATGTGTGTGGACTGGAAACAAAGAGACAGATAGAAGGTCTACTTAAAGCCATAAATGAATTAAAGTGTTTTAGTGTAGTTTTATTTGATTCGTGAATATGAATTTATAGTGTCTGGAAGTGTGATGCGGACCTCTGTAATCGATCGAAATCCGTTAGTTATCCGTCTAGATCAGACAGTTCTTCGATCAACGGAATCTAATTTACAATGATATTTCTTTGTAATAAATATGAAAAAATATATCTAGCAGATTAAGTACTACATGCTAATATTCCACCCATGAATTGATTTCAATTTGTCGATACATTGCGGAAACTCTGCCTGTAGCCCTTCTTCGGTTACTGCTGGTCCAAAGCCCGGATAAAGTAGACAGGCTGGGTTTGTGGTCACTAACTACACCACTCGAAAACCGACTTGGTTTAAAAATTGCCGATCAGAAAATATCATATACATCATATTAATTCAGCATAGCGAATTATGCAAGTTCATCATTTTGATGAATTATGAATCCACTTCGTGAATACCGAGATTCTTTGGAAGTCACGAGGCCTATGTCCCAAATGTTACTGAAATGAAAAGATACAACATGGCAGTTCTCGAACTAAGTGAAACATATTGAATGTATGTTGTGCAGAAAAAAAGAATTAGATTCGAGAAATGTGCTGTTGTACTGTGGTCATGAGTGAAAAAGTGAACAATACTTTCAGCTCTGTCATTACTGACCCTTGAGAATTCGCCTGTACACTAATATATTTTTGCATTCACTGATATGTATTATTCGTTATCATAGTGAATGGTATCATATCGATTCTGAATTACATGTAATCATTGTTATACGTTTTATTACTGAACATGAACTCCCTTCATACTCAATACAATTTAATTGATACTGAATAAAATGATTTATAAACTTGAAATGTTTACTAAACTTGTTCATTTGAAAAACATCTAGTTGCCATGGCCACTAATGTGGACTTGTCCTATGAGAAATTAACAGTGATTTTATGAGATTAGCTCACTATTCCAATCAACAGTATTTCCATGGCTATAAATAACTGATCAAACCCTGGTGAATATGTTATATGATTTCCTTAATAATAATGTGATAACAGACCACATATTAGTAGTACAATTTCATGTACAAATGAACATCATTCTAATGCTGATGAATTCGTGTAATTACTCAACAACCGTTTATTCAACTACAGACTGTAATACACGAGAATGTAAAATTTTATTTATTGTCGACATGATTTTGAAGTGCACAATTCACTTTCACAGTACCAAGAATTACTCTTTGCAAATATAATCAAAACATAAATAGTCTTGTAAGCAAAGATGGATAGTGGCTAGCAGTGATATCCGGGACGCGCGTTTCGTCGTATTTGGGACTCGTCAGCTGGATGTACCTGCTGGCCACTTTCCATCTATTCTTATAATGCTTGTAAATTAAGGCAATATCGAGGCGATACGCACAGTATGCAGACATGCCATTAAGAGACTGATCAATTTCAGTCCTAAACATCGATGGGAGGATTCAAGTAAAACAGTACACAGTGAAATAAATAGTCTTGGTTTCTTTCACTGAAATTACTATACATTTACGAAAGTTTAGACTGTTGTTCATTCATCAATAATTGAGTCATTTCGTTTAGCAGAGACTAAATATCCCTTAAACAAATAGAATTGATGTGACTTTGTTCATAAGTTACAATCCCACATTCAACAATGATGAAATCGTCTGATAGAATTAACTTGATTGAAATAATATTCAAATGTACATACATTCAAAACAGTTTGTGGCCAATATAATTTTAGCCAATCAAATCGAAACAATGCACCATTGACAACCAATTCATAGATTATCACAAGCAACAAAATGTTTGTTCGTGAAAATATGAGCACCGCAAGTTAACCAGTCACTTTGTGTAAAGTAATACTAATTACATCCAAAAATGGTTTTCATCAAAAGGGGTCAAGCATTTCAACCAACGGTGGTTAACTATCAGATTATATGCACCAATAGCTAGAAGAATATTGCATAATGATGTGTCCACCTACAACGATGATTGATTCATAATGATTATATGATTTCATGAATTTTGATCGTCTTAATGGTCACTTTGAATCAGTCAATCAGAAAGAAACAAACTAACACTTCACAATCTATATAAACTCGACAAGATCTAACACCAGTTATTATCGTTTTGGACAATATGATGAGGTGAGTGTTCACTGTAAAGTTGAGACAAATGAGCGTGTTATATGAATTTCAATGTGATCCAATGAGATAACGTTGTTTTGTTCATCTGAACTATTTCAGATATACTTTATCATCTGACCAGTACATACTGCTCAGTTCGGCTATCGTACTAATTGCGAAAGTTTTCTATTGCCAAGAAATTTGTGAGGATCCTGGACTAGAGACGTATAGCAAAGTAATCTCTAAAGACGACTCACATGAATACGTAAGTAATTGGTTAGTTTCTAATACACGTATTCAGTCTCATTATTATTACTATTTCCGGACAATCCGCCTTGATCAGCCTTCACCAGTTGAAAATAACAAGTTTGTAAATTTGGCTACTGATGAGGTGAGTTGATCTCATTTTGCAATGAAGATATTAATTCATATGTTTGTATATTTTTAGGAAATTCATCCAAAATTCCCGTTCAAATTTTACGGCACAGACGTTAGTGAACTAACTATACACACTAATGGTAAGCGAATCATTTTCTTTGAACAAAATTGTTACTGAATTTTGCTTATTCACACTTCATTTCATGAATCAAAGTTGTTTTAATTTCTCCAGTAAATTAGTTTCATGCTTTTTCTAACAATCAAAACTACTACTGATATCATATTTTATTCAGCTTGCAAGTAGTTTGACGCCTTACAGCAAACTAATCACGGTTCATACAATTCATTTTAGTCTCCAGTTAATTTCAATTTGTTTCCTTCATTCACTGCAGATTATCAATCACATTGCATATTTTTATTCAGGAAACTCAGGTTTAATAGACGTGAAAGGAAAAAAGGATTTAGGAACAATTTACACCCAAGTAGTTGGTGGTGGGCTGTCTGGATTTGAGATTTCGAATGAGAGTGAGTTCTTCATTCATTCAGTGATATTTTGTCTTGTTCTTTATTTTTCACTTTCTTTTTTTGAGTAAACGATTCAGTACTAAACTTGGTTATTTCATGAGAGTTTGCCAGTACATATTGATTATTTTGTTTATGTGGTTTGGTAGCCCAAATATGTGTTCACAGCGCTTTATTAAACATCTAATCAACGAACAACCAATGACAACCTACTGGAACAACGTGATTGACTCGAACCAGAACACCTAGAACATAAAACTAAAGTTAATTCCCTCGCTCAGTTATCAGGATTAATGACATTGGAGTAGCATTTCTGCATAATAGCTAGGTAAATGGAGAAAACACTGTTTCATTGGAATAACAGAATCTCAGAAAATAATTTCAAATGTGCATTGTCGGAAGGATATCAACGGTATTTTAGTTAACCAAAAACTTTTGAAACCAACGTTTGGGAAGTAAAATATTCTTCTCAGTTGTCGGCATTGAAATGTTCAACTCGCCATTGAAAAAATAATAAGGATCCTTCAAACTCTGATTTATTTGAACCGGTTTATTTAAATGTTGAAAAGAAGATGATAAATCATGCCCAAACTCATTCTGTGTTTATCGAAAAGGGGTGGATATTCAGAATGCAGATATGTAAACACAACTTTCTTTCCTTTTATTATTTCAGACGATTTGTTAGCTGTCCGAAAAAGTTTTCACCTAAATGTTGATGGTAAAAGTATGTATCCATTAAATGATTGTTTGAACACATGTGACATATTAATACTTACACCATCATTCCTTGTAATTACTCTCACGTTTTCTGTTTAGCACACGTAATTGAATTCTATTCAAAAACTTACAGGTGAAATACAGAGTAGTCATTCTGAAAAATTAGGCGGAAACTATACATGAAATCCATTGATTGTTTGAACATATTGATTGAGTCTTGAAGAACAGTTGAAATAAGCACGAACATAGTAGATTTGACGAGTCATAAATAGATCAGTGTGGTTCAATCAAGTCACAATCTCATTCCACTTGTGAATAAACGAATATAGAGATTCATCTTCATTGACGGGTTTAAAAGGAAAATGATTAGAAATCTGTTTATAAAAATTGTACATATGTGTGCTTCGGAACACCACACTCATCTAAACATTCACTCATTACACGGTCATTCTTAGATATTATTCTTTTAAATTATGAGATTGTAAAGACGATATATATAAGGCTTTTCACCTCTCATGTTCAACAAATATTGTGATCAGAGTCATCTGATCGACTGATTTACCAATGTGTTGCACAAACAATTAAATTATCAAGTTCTCTTTGTAAACAAACACTTCACAGCTCACGTCATGTGCACTTGAAGTCGATTGTTTCATGAGTAATTATAGATAATATATTGCGTCAATGTGAATATCTCCCCAACTATCAGATCTAATTAGAAGCTTGAAGATCTATGGTTTCAATGTGAAAATGAGAGCGTAACATATCCTCGAAAACCAAGCATCTGACATTCATTTTAAAGGAAGCATTCTTGTTTCATTTACATGATGTTCTTACATACTTATTTACCTACACCTGTTACTCCTCGTGGAAAAGCACAGGTCGCTCACCATCACTCTCCATTCAAGCCTGTCCTGGGCAATCCTTTCACCTCTTTCCAGTTGCTATTCATCTTTTTCATAACCGCTTCTAATCCCCGACATGTGTTCTATAATATTCCCTTCAGGATCACAAGTTGGCGCTTGCCTCGTGATGGAGTTTTATGATAACCGTAGCTTTGAGTTTCATACTTTCTTCAATTGTACAAACGCGGACATCGCTTTGCCAATATTTGCCTTCATTTTGCATCCAATCCTCCTTTTTCATCAATGATGCTTCCCAAGTACATGAAAGATTCCATATCTTAGAGAGATTCTTCACAATCTGTGATTGACTGGGTGTCCTCCGTGTTGCATTTGAGGATGTTGGATTTTTCCGTGTGTATGTCGAGATCTGCTGATGCGAAAGCTGCTGTTGCTCTAGTTGTATTCATCTGCACTTGTTCGTTTGTAGCGGATGGGCGAGCTAGTTCATATGCAAAGTCCGAATCGTCAAACTGATTCTGAGCTGTCCATTGTATTCAGTGCTTTCCCTCAGATGTCGAGGCCTTCACAATTCAGTCAACCACTACAGGAAGGAGGGAGGGGGAGATTAAAAAGCATTGTTTGACTCCGGACCCCACTTGGAATGCATCTGTCAGCTGTCTTCTATGCACCAATTTGCTCTGTATTCCATCTTGTGAGTTTCGGATAATATTGACAATCTTCTAGCGAACTCCATAACTTCGAAGAAGGCTCCATAATGTTCTCCCATCCACACTGTCAAACGCCTTTCCATGGTCAATCAAGTTGATGAATGGTGACGTGTTTTACTAGACTGATTGTTCGACGATGATTCGTGGTGTCTCAAATCAGTCTGTGCACGAGTGATCCTTACGGAATCCGGCCTATTGATCTCAAAGTTCGGCGTCTACTGCGTCTTTCGTTCGGTTCAGCCACACTCTGTTAAAGACTTTCCTGGTACTGACTGTGGTCCATTGTATGTGTAGTCCTCACATTTGCTCAGATCTCCTTTCTTTGGTATCTTGATGAGTTATCTTTCTTTTCAGTCCGTCGGTACATCGTCCTCCTCCCAATTCTTCTTCAATCGAAGGTGGAGCATATTCACAGTTACTTCAATGTATGCCTTCAATTCTTCAGCTGGTATATTGTCAGATCCTGCTGCTTTCTCTCTCTTGATTTGTCTGATGGCCATTCTGGTTTCTTCGATCGTTGGTGGAGTGACATCTATAGGTAGGTGTGTGTGTGCTTCTCCGATGTCCGGTGGATTCAATAGAGCTGGTCTATTCAACAGTTCCTCAAAATACTCTACCCATCCATTCCTCAATTCTTGAATCTTGATGATTGTCTTTCCTTCTTTGTCCGGTCTCCATGGTTTAGTATATCTCCCCGATATTTTCTTCGTTGTACCATATAGTTGCTTCACGTATTGTATTTATCTTTATATAACACTTGCGATTCTGTTCATTTCCGCTTTTGTCACTTTCGAGTTTGGTGTTTAAATCTCCCACCAGGATGATCAGTTCCTTTCTTGTGCACTTTGCTAAGATATTAGCCTCCCATAAAACTGATCTTTATTGTCGTCGTTGCTGTCATTGTTGGGTGCATATCATTGGAACACATTCATCGTGATCCCGTTCTTATTTGTGTTGAAGGATACTTTAGTGACTCTGGATTCGTGAGAATCCCATCCTTCAAATGCATTTCGTGCTACTTTGGACAGCATTAGAGCAACTCCTTGGGTGTGTGAAGCATTTCCTGTTCGTGACCAGATTTTTTTCAATAGGTTCCTCTTATTCTGAGCACCGCCAATGTGTTTCTCCTAATTTCAGTAGCTATTTGATTAGTCCTCCCTGTATCCCACATTGTCCGGACATTTCATGTAATTATAATAAATGTCGCTCTGGCAGTTACATTGGGCATCAGTCTCGTGATTTCGGACGAACCTCAGTTTTCATGCTGAGGCCTCCTAATTCTTACTTGAGCTCTTAGGGTAGAGTTTAAACGGTTTACTTTGTTTAATCTGATCGGCGTTTTTTTTATCAAGATTTAGTTCTACAGTATGGGATTGTCAACTTCATGCTCAAACCTAATTCTTTACCCGGTCTTGTGAGCGTAAGTAATTCTAGAAGAGCTACAGGCGAAGTTGCATGAAGTTCGGCAGATTATATTTTCTTCGGATTCAACTAAAGAAATCATCTGAGATAACACGGTAAATATCTGCCTAAATCTGATCACTGTGTGGGTAAACACACACAATATCACGTTTGACAATAACATGCTCATCACATATTCCTGAAATTTTAAATAACGACAGTCTTCTTGTTGCAGATTTTACATTAAAGATGTTAAATCTGATACATCCGAGCGGGAAGATATCCATGTATTATGAGCACGTAAGTCGCACAATTGAATGTAACTGTTGTTTTGTTTCAAGTACTTCAGATTATTCCACTATTTAATGCAATTCAATACAGTCGAATGCATCAAGGTACATTGAACACGACAGGGGGAGATCAACATTTGTTAATGTGCACACAGACTATATGAAACTATTAACAATCCTTTTGTGATACACTTTATTCTAGCACTTTTATAAAACAGTGAATGATAAGAAGTTAATTGAAGAAATTCTGGTGTCTTCACGCCGACTAAGTACAAACAGTGTTCATTAGGGTACTACTGTAGTGAACAAGAACACGAGTGGGGGACAATCGAATGAATTTGATAGGAAATTACAGAAAATGTTAATACAATCTAACAATCATATAGTAAATGCCTAATTTGCAAAATGTCCATCAATTGTCTCAAAATGACTCAGACGTCATTGCTCTGGCAATTTCATACAAATTGCATTCTGTTTTCAATAATAACTGTTCGATCCTCTTATCTCTCTGCTGCTAGACATTCTGTTCCTGCCAGATCTTGACTCAGACATCCATTATATCTTTTCAGGTTACTGAGGAAATCCGTAAGAGTGAATCGGTGTCCGTAGTTAACAGTGAATTTCGGTGTGGAGAAGAAGGTAACAAATGTCATTTATATTCTGACTTACATTCAAATACGTGAACAAACATTTGTTAGAATAATATTACCATCTATTTGTACACTATGTTCTGTATGTCAACACATGTCATGTCACATGAGATAAAGGGTCATTGGATATTTGGAGGAATATTTCGCATATGTTTATCGGTTGACTGATCCAGACGGGGATATATGAATGACCAAATTAGGTCATGGATGTAGTCTTTACTGATTGAATATGAGAAAATACATGAAGCATTTGGTTAAGAGTTACCTGATGATCTATTGAAATGTCTTTTCACAGTAAGATATTAAACTTTTTCGTATTTCGATTGCTCCTTAAACGAACAAACAACTTGTTATACATAAAATAAAAATCAATACTTTAAATGTCTTCTTCTGTACTACTTATTAAAGAAATAAAGAGATATCCGACTATCTTTGTTTATGGAAACTGGATCAAAACTGGAACTTTGGTAGAGTTTGAAGTTGACGGCGGTATGTTCAACCTTATTTTATCAGAGTTGACTATTCACACATTCCGTCGCACAATGTTTGTTTCATATAATTGAAAATTTCATGTATAATTTCGGTCAATTATTAAATGATATCCAACCACCAGCCTCACCTCTCGTCAGATCACTCGTCTATTCACTGTTGAATATTTCAAATTATTAGAGACACATTTTGAACCACGATCAAATTCATCACTTTGATAAAATTTACTTAAACAATAGGCCACGAAACGATAGATCAGATGATATAAGTCAGTTAGTTGATTTCGCATTGACTTGGCAGTGTCATCTGTTTTTTTCATCTCGAACATATGATAGTGAATTTTCACGAGGTATTGAAATCGCAGAAACACATTGTTGAAAATGCATTATCTGTCTTTGAGCAACTGGCTTTCTTGCAGCGATTTCCAAGTAGTCTGTTTGAATGAGTTTTCAACATAATTCTCCACTATTCATATGTAGGCGTGGTATACAAGCCATCTTTTAGTCATAAAACTGACATCATTGAATGAAATTCGACAACCATCTAAAATCAAATGCAGTCAGCTTTGCTGAACTCATTTAGAGCCCAATATGTACATTTCTGAATTTTGACAGTCATTGAAATCCACCAAATTCGCTGGTCGGAACTCATCGTTCATTATTGAACGTAATTTTGTTCAATATCAATATGATGTTATGAGATGTGAATGACATTGAAAGTGTACTGAATTTCGTATTGGGCAATGTAATGACAAATTCACAGTGAATGAAATAGTCACTCAACTGCGAAATCGCCATAATCTCATTGAGTTATTGTTACATGTTTTGTATTTCACTAATGTTTTCTTTATTAACTTAAAATGCAATCAGCTTATCGTTTTCACTAAAGGTTGTCCAAAACACAAGTCGATGAAAACATGTAAAGACTCAACAACATCGAATACAAAGTGCATGTGGTGTGAAAATGCTAATATGTGCATTCCCAGCACTGATAAGAATACTCATGACTTCAAAGTCAGTCTTTGCCAGAATAAAGTAAGTAATTGGTTGACTCCACTGGTTGTTTTCAGTATCAGCATATTCCACCCTATCAATCAATTTACTCGGAAGAACATTTTATTGCTACGAATAAGTAGTGATTTGTATTGTTCCCTCATTGCATAAATCAAAGTATTGTATACGTTGACGATATTTAATCGGACATCAGTACAGTGCTTTGTTTCCATGTGGACATTCAACAATCAATAGAACCGTTGTTTAACAGTAATGCCTGGAAATATATCAATTTTCCAGCTCATAGAATGTGAAGTGATTCTCGATGTCTAATATGGAACCGTATTTCTACAGAAACTGTTGTACAATACCGGTGAAACCAGCCTGAATGATGAGGCATAATCTGTCGAAAATTGTGTAGAATGGTTGAATGATTGGTGAAAGTTCTTATACTCGGATTGCTCAATTTCAGTATAGGTATTTCTAGTTTCTTGTTGAGAAATATATGTCCTTCATAGACTGCATCAATCAAGCCATCATTTGTAAATATGTTGATCAATATTTAGATTGTGATTAGAGGTGACATCCAGGAAACAAATTTCAGCACACCTGTATAAGTCGTCAGTTAGTTGACTGTCAAACCACTACCAGATATCCTAAACCATTATTCATTGATCACATTGTGCAAATATAAATTATGTAACTATTTGTTGAATTCACTTGTGTCATCCATACTGACAATAGTGTATGATGGATGATGAATTATTTAATTAATATTTGATATTTAGTGATATTGCGTCTGTTTCGTTCTTCAGAGTAGCTTGATTGACGTTTCCAGTGAACCGACACTTATCGAAGGTGAAGAAGATACAACTCCAGTAACTACTGTAGCCGACTTAAGAAATGAATTGAGGCAGACTACTGAGAACACTGAAACTCATTCGGTAAATATTTGATAATTAGTAATACTGCTACTATTTTATTCTTCAGAATAGCTCGAATATCAGCGTTTCGAATGGACCAACACTTATCGAAGACGACAAAACAACTCCAACAAGTACTGTAACCGACCTAAGAACTGAATTGAAGCAGACTACTGAAAACACTGAAACTCATTCGGTAAATACTTGATATTGAATAATTATTGTACTGTTTTGCTTTTTCAGAATGTGACAACACAAATGAATGAAGATAAGAAACAAGGAGAGTCTCGCAATTACGCGTACATTATCGTACCAGTAGTTGTCACATTCATTGTTATATGCATCGTCTGTGCCATTGGAATATGGTTTTATAGAAAGAAGAAAAGTATTCCATGTTTATCACAAACGACTTCTTGTTTGTTTCCATCATACTGACTCTGTTATTTTCCTTTTTTATTTTATTGTAAACACCTTCCATTATGTTAATCATTTCAGTAAATCGGAGATTGTTCCATGGGACAGCACACGACTTTCATGATTGTTTATTTAATGGCTGATTTAATTTTGTTTGTACAATATAAAATATGGTTTTCTGTAGTTCCGTGATTGTTTTCATTCAGTAAAAGCTGATTAGTTTTACAAGAGTTTACAAGATTGCACTTGTGAGTTAAGAGTACCGTGTATACGTGATTATGTGACAATTGCAATCAACAATGAATCCGTTGTGAATGTCCAGTTTGATGAAGTCACACCACTGGAAAACATCATTGAAAATTGCCGACGTTCATTGTTTAAACCTGAAATGTCGGAATATCGCATCAACATTTCAGAAGGCACCTCATTCATACGTTATTCAATTATTCACTGTTTAGTAAAAGCTTGATGACAGGTTGTATTTATTTAGGTGTGATGAATGCTTGTTATGAATTAATTCTATAGGGTTAAGCTGGCACTCAAGTAATAATGCAGAAAGGTATAGGTTCAATAAATCAGTAACAGTCCTGTCTCAGCGTCGCTAAAGAACATTACAGATATCAAATCAAGCACACTGTAGCGAATACAATCGCTCCTAATCTCATGAAAATATGGGAAAAAATTTCACAAAGATTACATTGGTTGTTATATTGTTCACGTTGAGGACTACCTTAAGGAAGACACTAACTGCACTTGGCTTCACCAGCTTTCAAAGAAGATTTCGATGCTTTGATTAAAACTGTCATGGCTGCTTCGTTAAGTGCTATGAAAGATAAGGATTGCGTTATTGACATTGGATTCCCGTTTGTTAATGCAAAGACACACCACAGTTGAAGCTGAAAATACTCCTAGTCGCGTTCATTGTTCTAAAGTGTTTTGTGAAGCCGATGTTCCGGAATTCTATCTTCAGATTCCTTCGGATAAAATTTTATCACATATACCAAGAATTACCTTTCTTTGTGATCGATTCAAATACAACCACCTTTCGTTCAGTTTACTTTGTTCTCCAGCAATGTTCCATGAAGTGATCCATGATGTAGTCAGTGGTCCTAAAGGGTTGAAGTTTGTCCATTGTCTTCAAAAACAACCACGACCAGTACTTCGATTTTCGTAGCCACACGACTAGAGACAGAAAAATTGGCTTTAACGCTAAGTTTTCTGTCAGTATTTATTATCAGGATTGGCATGTCGGCATGAGCAGTCAGCAGCAATGATGAAAAGAAGGTAACCTTGATTCAATATTGTTATCGTTAATGTGTTGAAGTGAGACGTAAACACCGTTGTCTCAGACTGAATGGCAAGAGGTCAAGCGTTTGCTAGAGAATATACGTCTCAGAATCGATTTCAGCGTGTGACAGTATGGGACTGCAATGGTCAGGCGTCGCTTACTACAACAAACAGAATACTGAGTGATTTCCGGTTTCTCATAGAGTGATCATATTGATTGGTTGGTGATTTCAATCAAAAGTCATATATCCTGGACTTCATCTAATTTCATTCGCCAAGTGTGATATATCGTGCCTCCAGGTTTTTAATGGTGTTCTAGCTTAGATCGACTCATGGATTCAAACATTGTCGTATTCACCGTAGTATTATTGATTCACATCGTCAGTGTGATACACTACATTTTCGACGTCATGCAACTCACTCGGTGTACATAAGTCTATCTGAAGTGGTATAAAACATTAGTCACAAACAAGACTTATTCTTGCTTCTAATAATAATGAAGTTAGTTAAACAATACAACTCAGATGGTAAATGATTACAGTTTTCAGTTATAGCGGAGCTAGACCTTCTATGAATTGACAGCCAAATGGTTTGTTTTCACTTTATTTTATATTTAGAAAAGTAGCAATCTTTTGTAAAAATGAGATTTTAACTCATTTAAGTTAAGACAATGTATGTAGGTGAAGGTCAGTCACATAAGCACATCATTGGAATGCGATAGTTTAGATTTTAACTGAGATTCATAGTACGCCCACTATACAGCACCATACAGTAAAGAGAATACCATATTATTTAATTAATGAGATGGAATGTGTTAATAGACGACAACAAAGTATAATCAATGGTATTTCTGTGAACAACCGAGGTCAACAGAAATATGCTTGTTAATTAAACACTCAAATAATTTACACTGAGAATAGAAAATAGTAAATTTTACTTTGAAAATTGTATAGAAAGTAACAGAAAGGATAGACGTTAGTGTTATGTGTATATTGAATCAGGTAAATGGGACAGAATCCTCCTTGTGAGTTGAAATAAATGAATATTTGAAGGAGGAGATCATTGTTCAATGTCACACCAGTAGAGAAGAAATAGTTTCAATGTCTGCCAATAAGACAATTGCACTCAAACTCATTAAACAGTGTCTATGTTGATTCTCATGTATATCAGCTCACTTCGAATCGTAACATGTGGTTAGTTAGGTAGTTGGTTAGGAAACAAGTTCACTCCTGAAATTGTGTATTCAGTCTTCAGAAATGACTGCAAATGGAAGTACGATTTGGTAATGTAAAATGAATTCACTAGTGGAGATTAACAAGGAATGGAAGTAATAAATGGTTCAAAGACAGATTTGTGTTCCGAAACAGTTGAATATCCTAATGAAGTTGTATATTTCAATAGAGTTTATTTTGGGCTTACATCATGAACTCGCTTTCGGTAGCATAAACACTGAAGAGTATTAATTATTGAACAGATGGGATGTGGAACTGTTAACGAATGGACAACTATGATTTCAACAGGAGTCTATCTTAAGACCAGTGATTTGGCATCTTGTGATTAATATTCGTAAATTCAGTGAAATCAAGGTATTACGCAGTTGTCCCTCATTGTCTCCGATAATCATTGCTAGTCTCATGATGGCGGACTGCTGACTAGTTGCATACTTGTATGAAATAACAGTCCAAAACTTTCAGGTTCTCAATGGCTTTTGAACTGAAGTTAGCTTGTGATCCAAACTATTAAGTGGATAGTCTTCACTAACTTGTTGAACTAAAGTTTTATCATTTATTGATGAACAAATTGTACCCTATAACACGTTGAAAAAGAGAATGTTTCGGGATTAGAAGTTCTCAAACTATTGCGCCCATTTCCCAACATCTGATGAGTAGCACATAGACAAACTGGATATAAAAGTCATATCAGCCAAACCTCTCACTAAACAGCAGTATAT